ATATTTATTTTGAATATAGTCAATCCATCTTCTCCATTCCGATATATATCTTTCTTGTGTATAGTCCTTCAAATATGCTGAAATTTTCGCCATTTCCGCTAGATTCGCTACTTTCAATGTCCACTCTTCAATAGTAGGCAAAAAGTCCTTCTTCCAGTATTGCGCTACCAACAGCCTAGCTGCTGATATTAAATTTAAAATCAATTTAGTCTCTAATGCTGTACAATCCATAGTTATACCCAATAAAAACAATTGCGGAGTAAATTTCAACCTTTTTTTCAGGATGTTCTGCATCACCCACCAAATTTTTATCCAAAATGCCTTGATTTTCTTGCAGGTCCACCATATATGATAATAAGTTGCATCATCACAGTCACATCTCCAACATTTAGCTTGCAAATTTGGGTACATACACGATAATTTTTTAGGATCGAAATGCCATCTATAAAACATTTTATAAAAATTTTCTCTTAGGTTTTGTGCTTGCATAAATTTAACATTTCTAACCCAAATCTTTTCCCATGTTTCTATCATCACTGGTTCCTGAAAATTTTGTGCCCATTTTATCATACAATCCTTAACAAATTCCGTTTCTGAATCTATTTCCAATAATGCATTATACAACCTTTTAATATGCATTTGACTTTGATCTCTAATCTGTTTTACCAAGTTTTCCTCATTTTGCATAACACCAATTTTTTGATCTTCCCTCCATCTAGCTTGAAGCTGACCATACTGAAACCAAGTGTATATTATCCCTTCTTCTTTCAATACATTTAAAGGTTTCAATTGCAATTTACCCCTTTCCATAAAAAGAAGCTCTTTATAAGTAATCACCTCCTGTTTTTGTTCTATACTTATATTTTCTATTGCATGTCTGGGATTTGCCCATATAGGTATCTTGTAGTTTAGTTTATATTGATACTTTTTCCAAACCCTCAACAAAGCATTTCTAAGTATGTGACCTTTAAACACCTTATCCACTTTTTTTTCCATATAACAAGTAAGCATGCCATCCATATAACAGATCATAACCTTCTATATTTAACATTCTCTCTTCAGTTAAATTAAACCAGTCACTAATTTGTGATAAAACCGCTGCTTCATAGTACAATCTTAAATTAGCCATTTTAAGACCTCCTCTCTCATGTACATCCTGTATAATTTTCAATTTTACTCTTGGTTTTTTCCCACCCCAAATAAAAGTATTAACCCCTTTCTACCACTCCCTCAAATTTCCATCTTTCTTAAGCACTGATATCACTTGAAACAAAAATAGAAACCTAGTAATACATTCATTTTTATTACTGCTATCCTTCCCAGTAGTTGTAACGTTTTCCAATTTTCCATTTCTTTCTGCACTTTTTGCCAAAGAACTTCATAATTGTTTTTAAATAATTTCGTATTTGAGGCTGCAATATATATTCCTAGATATTTAACCTTTTTAACTATTTCAAACCCCGTTATTCTTCCTAAGTCTTCTCTTTGAGATATAACATATTTTTAGTTATCATCTTTGTCTTATGTTGATTTACTTTAAATCCAGATACCTTACCATATTGACCTATTATGTCCAACATATGTGGAGCCGATTCTATAGGTTGAGATAAAGTAACAACCAAGTCATCTGCAAACGCTCTTAATCTGTAATCTTGCTGTCTAATTACAATTCCCTTTATTTTATCAGAGTCACGTATCTTATTCAACAAAACTTCTAAAGTTAAAATAAACAACAATGGAGACAAAGGGCAACCCTACCTTGTTCCTTTCTCAATTTTAAAAACATCTGTTAAACCTCCATTAACTATTATTTGTGCTGTTTGTTCCTGATATATTGCTCTAATTGATTGTATAAAATACTCTCCAAAATGCATTTTTTCTATTATCTTAAACAGAAATTGCCAATTCAATCGATCAAATGCCTTCTCTGCATCCAAAAATATGAACGCTGCAGAGACTTGGTTGTTTTTTTCCAAATATTCCAATAAATTTACAATTTGTCTAACATTGTATTTCATTTGCCTCCCTTTTATAAACCCTGATTGGTCATTATGAACTGTTTGTTGCATAACTGGCATTAATCTATTTGCTAATATCTTAGCAAAAACTTTATAATCAGTGTTCAAAACATTGTAAAAAATTTTCATATTGTTTTCTTATATGAGTTTCTTGAAGGCATACAATGTCTATTTTTTGTTTGATTAATTTCCTAAATATTTGATGTCTTTTGGCTGGCGAATTAAGTCCATTTATGTTTAGTGATATAATTTTAAGGTTCCGGTCCATTCTTTAAAATTGGTCTTTTTCTTTTTTATTCCTTTACTTCCTGTCCTTTTTCTTAGCTTGGTTTTTTGCTCTTGTCGTTACTCTTCTTCTTCTCGAATTTCCCCCTCTTCTTCTTTTTCTTTTTCCTTAATTCTCTCCTCACACGGGGTTTCTTGATCTTCTCGTCTTTGTTTTGGTTTAACTCTCTTTTCCAATTCTTCTCTTCTGCCATTTGTTCTGTCTAATTCTATCACCTGGTCGTGTATGGTTTGTGCCTTCTCTAAGGAGTCGACTTTTATCTTTTTCCCCTGCCACGTGACCAACACTCCCTCCAGTATTATCCATCAAAATAATATTTGTTTTCTATTTAGTAATGCTGTGAGGAATCCATAATCCTTTCTCCATTCTCTAATTCTTTTTGGTATTTGTTTTAATGATATGATTTCTTTCTGTTTGTAGTACATTGGTTCTTCTTTTGTTATTTTGAAGACGATGTCTCTGACTTTCCTCCACATGAATCGTACATGGACCTCTCTTGGCAGTTTGTGTTGTCTCGCGTAGTTCGTATGTACTCTAAATACCACATCCAGTTCGTTAATAATCTCATCCTTATCTCGCTGTAGAGCTTCTGCAATCAATTCGGCCATTACTATAGTTAGGTCCTCATCTCTTTCTTCTCTCACATTTTGGAACCTTAGATAAAATGCTGCTCTCTCCATCTCTAACTGTGCCACCGTGTTCTCAAGGTCTTTATTGACGCCTGTCATTTTCTCATCTAATAATTCTAGCTTCTCTTCTGCTTGCTCTGTTTTTTTTTTTTTCTATGGCCATGATCCTTTGGTCATTTTTTTGTATTATCTCTTGAAAAGAGTCCATTTTTTCATCTAATTTTTGTATATTCTCTTTGACCGATTTTTTGACTTCGTCCAAATCTCTCCTGGCTTCCTCATGATTTCTAGACAAGCACTCTTGCATTTTTAACATAGTCTCCTGTATTGTCGCTAATGTAGTCTGGACAGTCTGCATACTCATGGTGGAGGTTTGCTTTTCAGTCGAAAACATCCCTTCTAAGGTCTTTTGTGTTGCCGGAGAAACTGTTAATCCAATTGGTGTTGAAGTGACCTTCTTTCCTGATTTTACTGTAGTTACTGTGGTGGATGTCATTTCCTTCAAAATTTTATGTTGTTTTTCTAGAATTCTGTTTATTCTTTCCCAAATCAGCATCCGTTTCTAGCTCAGTTTTGTAAACTACTAATTCCTAATGTTCTTAAATAAGTCTAAATATATTCTATTCCTATTTTATTTGAATATAAAATCTCAATCTATAAATTATATTTTATATTTTAACTAATTTATTATATATCACTCTAATGATTCTCAGACGTACTGTATCTTAATCTTAATCTTAATGAGAATCCTTCTCCTGTTCAATAGGCTATAAATACTATAAAGTGATATAAGTGCTATAAATACTTTAGACTTGTATTAACTTATTCTACCTGGCTTGATATTAATAAAAATCTTAATCAAAACACATATAAGAAAGCAACAGACAAAATATTATAGCATATAAACAGTACTAAAAAATTATATATATAAATTGATTAAAGTTTAAGTTGATTGTCTAATAACTAATTAATAGTAATTTATAATTATTAAATAGTAGTTATTAAATAGTAATGACTAATAAATAAGTAAATATATAAATATGTAAATAGTTATTATATATAAGATATATATAGGAATTTTCTTTCCAAGGCTTAATCAGTGCAAAATTCCACTATAATTGACACCAGTCCCATTCTGGCAACTCTCCAACACCAACAATTATAAATCCAAATGGACTAGAATCTTCTTTGTAAGATCAGGAAAAAAAACAACGTTCAAAGTCTTTCATTCTCACCGTCCAAAATGGCGATCTCAGCCCTGCAGTTTTCCCTTTTGTCCTTCTTTATTATTGCCTATATTGTCCTTCTCCATCAGGGCAGCTTTATTAAATGGAAAACCAACGTCCCTGTTCCAGATCGCTTCTCTTCTCCCAGATTCAGAACGCTCGCTCTTTCAAACATCCCTTTTCTATTCCTCCGTATATATCCAATGGGAGAGGTTTTGCTGTGTCACTTCGCTCCCCTTGCTGTTTGCCGTCTGCACCTTTCCGAGTCTCCCTTTCCTTCAGCTGCTCCTCTGGACTCTAGGATTTGTCATCTCCTCTCAGTTATCTTCAATATTACAGTTTTTAGCATTTTAACCTCCTGCTCGCACTGCCAATCTTCACCCCATACTCACTCTTTCGCTTCCCAATTTTGCACTTGGGGCGTTAGATCTCTGGGTTGGCCTGTCGGCCGTCTTCTTCCGTGTTTGAAATGAGGGTTCTTCTTGGCGCGGCGGGAGACTGCACCTCTCCACACCAGCTCCGCCGAAGTCACCCTCTCTTTACCGGTCCATCCAAGACCGATTTTTCCCGAAACAGGCACCATAACACTGGAAATTCGACACGGGATACGGAGCTCTCCTTCCTCGTGTCGCCTTGGCCCACGCCTCAACCAGAAATCATATATACATTTCCAATTCCCAAAACTTTTAAATTTTTTTAAAATTTTCATTTTAATTTTTTTAAACTGAATGTAAGATTTCATATACATAGGTGAGTCTATTAATTCCTAATGCACAAGCCAATTTCAAAATTTGTATGTGTGAATCACACTATATCCAAATTTTTCTCATTATGTTTTCAGAAGAGACATTGGTGCCATATAGCAAGCCTAGCTTCCCATCACCAGGTGGTCACAGCTCTTCAGGTACAGCATCTTCTAAAGGATCAACTGGACCCAAAAAAGTAGATGTCATGAAAGGAGGTCATCAGCGCAACATGAGCGATCTCATTGATGTAGGATATATTGGATTAAACAGTCAAGGACAGTTTTCTGATGAATTATGTAAGATTATTTTGCAATCAAGCAAACAAAAATGTTTAAAATTGGAAAAGAAGGAAAATTTCTGTGTTAGTGGATAGTCATGGGAAAACTATCATTAACAACATATCAATCTATAATATACTGTAACATGTTTTACATGTTTAATAATGTAATCACAATATTATGAATTTAAACAGTATATGCATTATTTTCTATCTGAACGTTAGTATAAATAGTAATGTGCCATATTTATCAATCAGTGAATGTTCTTGTTTAGTTTTCTTGGGTTTGTAGGACAGAAAGACAATGTTTCATAAAACTATATTATAGCCTTGTTGTTAAATAAGCAAGAAACAAACCAGTATGTAGGAAAAAGGAAAAACTAAAAATACAAGCAGACAATATAAGTTAACTTTCCATAAATTTATAACAGATAAGCAAGGACAATAACAGCTGCCATTAATGTTGTGACTTTTAGTACAGGAAGCTCCCTCTCTATAACATAATTGCTTAGATTCTTAGATTCAATCTTATAGACCTTTTTTCATTAGTAAAAATTATTGAAAAGAAAATAAAACACAGAAATTCTACTGATAGCTTAATTGATACACTTACTTTCTTGCTTCTGGATCTCTTTTTATTCCATATAGTTTTGCTATGTTTAATATAAATTATCATTTTGTCTAAGTATTTAACATTTCTGAACAGTAAACTTTTGTCTACAGTAGAGAACTACTGCTTATAGCATATAATTTATATTCCATGGTAAAAGGTTACACACACACACACACACACACACACAATCTAAAGTTATGGGAGGAATTTGCTCCCTGTATTTGTTCTCTCCCTTATTTTTATAAAAATAGACTATTTATATGGGCTGTATAAATGAATAAACCTAAAAGCTGTGGGCATATACCAAAATGTGAACTTTTGATAATATTACAATATACTTAGTAACAATGAAGAAAAAGCTTTAAATATGCAAATGGGAAATGCACTTATAGCTCTGTGCAATAGAGAACAGTCTAGACATAATTGCATTTTCCTAATTTATGTGTAGAGAAAATGTATACAGCCTGAAAGAAAAACACAAAATGCCGATAATAATGAGTACTCCTGTATTTTGTCCATAAATGATTCAACTGAATGAACATGACCCTTTTTAAAAATTATGAGTGACAATGTAAAAAATGTCTATTTCAGCCCTACATATAAGAACCTAAATATTTTGGGAATGAGATCACAGTTGCTCTCTTATAGGATATTTTCTGTCACTTTATAAAACCTTGAACTGTATAAAATAAGACTTGAAATGTGAAGTAATATAGCTCGGATACATATTACATATAATTTTCAGTTACAATTGGGTCATAATTATTCAGTTATAGAACAAATTAGGTCAATTTATTTTCCTCAGTTAAAATTGTATTTTAATAATAGTTTTGCTCTATATCCCTCTTTTTTCCAGAAATTTGAAATATTAAGAAATATGCAGATGTGTTAGACTGTCCAAAGTTTTTACTCCCATTAAATTACAGTTAGTGCTCCCAATATTAATTTCAAGTATCAAAATATTGTAATATTTTTAATTCACATGCACTAATTTAAAAATGTTATTTTAACCTATATTTTTGATTAATATATGCTTAAATCATAAAACAAATGCATAAATCTTTAAAGTGTCTGAAAACATTATCTTGTTCTTGTTTTTTTGTTTAACAGAGTAGTTGAAAAGAAACTTCTCCAGCTGCTTTCAAGGCCATCAAGTCTCAACTCATGGAAGTGATGACACTAAACAGTGCAATGAACATTTTCTTTATTTATGTACTTATTATTAAAGGAACTGTAAATGCAATGTAAAGAAACACAGAAACACATATCCCGCAGATATTCTACCCATGTTCTTCTTTTACACCTTTCACTTTAAATTCTTTCTTATTAAGCATATATACCAGGAAAAAAATCACCCTGCAGGATGAAATAAATTTCCCTTGTACATAATTTCTTTTTCTTGCATTGCTATGCAAACTCACCTTCATTTAGCTATGTTCATATTATTGTCTGTCCTTCTTGGTCTGTTGTACTATATGTGAATTAATAGGCTGTGGTGCCATATAATAACTTTTAATTGTGTAACATTTTATGTTTGAAGTTTGCACTGCAATTTTTTGTTGGTGATAAGCACAAAACTTTTATGCCTCGTGTCATGAAGAAGAAGAAGATTGAATGTGAAAGGAGTCTATGTACTGTAAGCTATGTTGGATAATGCTGGATGTAATGAATTATGTTAGGTGGTTTTCCATTTGGGTGTAGAATTAGGAAGATGACTGGCAAAACTGATGTTAGCAAGAGTTGATTGGGACATCAGGAATGGAATACCATCTGAAATAGCAAGCAATGTTGCTTTTATCGTTTAAAGAAAAAGGTCAAATGATGGAAGTATCGTTTCAAGATCAGATTAGAACATGAAAGCCTCCTATCTTCTTAGTATCAGTTTTTCATTTATTCAGTACAGTTGCACTCACTACAAAGGAAGGAAGTTAAGATGTTTCACTAAAGCTGTTTTTATAGTACTTTTTTATTTTAGAAAAGAGTATTATAGTTGATTTGCTCTTCCATCTGAAGGTAGAGATCCAGTATGAACCATATGAAGGTAGAAAAATACTTAGCAAGACTTAAAGATGCAATTATCATTGAGATATCCAAGCTGCTTCCAAAAATCTACAGTATTCATCTTTTCAATACGTGCAGTAAAGATGAAAATGTAGAGCTACGTCACTTGAAATCCATGATCTAATTTTTCTTATGCAACTAACACATAGTTTTGCTGTATTATTATCTGAAGCTGTAAGACATTGAAACCCAATTCATTTGTATTTAAATCTTGGGTTACAGTAATTGAAAAGAAAGATGGCATATTCATGCTCAGTTTTAAATCAAGGTGTTTCTTTTTACTAATTCTCTACATTACAGGAAACTGGTTTCAACAAGGAAAAGAAGACATCTTTGACCTATTTTTGATGACTAAATTTCAAGCCTCTTCTTACAAAAACAATGCATGTTTATACACTTTTTAAATAAACCAAACTTGCTGTAAGTGGACATTAACAAAAGCATCCTGTCTCATCATTAATTTTCATGACTTTCTCCAGCTACTTGCCAGTTTTTCACATCTTTGTTAGAAATATTATACATGTATTCCAATGCATTAAATATTTTATTTGAAGTTTACATCAAAAAGCTTACCTTATTCATTCATATCATTATTACAAACATTCATATACACAGTTCCTATTGTTTATACTTTGCCTTGATGATCATATTACTGCTAAACAAAACACTTCTTGATCAAGCAAAGAAATATGCATTCTTTTTCATTACATTGAGAATGTGATAAACTAAAATATTTTTAGTATAAATGGTATCAATAGTGCAATTATTTCTTTTTATTTTAATTTAGTTCAGAGTATTGGCAAACCAGAAACAACGAAAGATGCATTGATTCAGAATGCATGGAAGTTATGTAAAATGCTCAGTAATTGAAATGTTGGCCAGACATAGAACATTCATAAATGTAAAAAAAAATTCTATCCTGAATTCTATATATTAAAAATGAATATATATATATGCTAGTATAAGTAGAATGGATACAAAAAAATCTTCATATAGTTTCATATAATAATGATACAAAAACTGCTTTAAAGGAGAAAACTCATTCTACTCACAGCCTACCAAAAATCGTGATACAACTATGTTTGGTTTGGAACAATTTTTATGTACCTGTAGCCAGGGACTTTTCAATTAAATATTTCACAGCACCAATCAGTTAAAAGTGACACAGGATATTGAATTTGTATCATATATCACCTTAATTCTTACTTATATCACCTTAATTCCTTTCTTACTGTGAAATACTGGAATTGTGATGTACTGATGTACTAATAGCTAGGATATGGGACACAAGTCCATTGCACAAAAACATGTAGCTACCAAAAGTCTTGCAAGATTTGACATAACCCATGTATTCAAATGTCAAGCAGTCTTTGCCAATATTATCTGTGAACCCCTATGTGTTAGTACTTAGGCACCAAATCTCATGAGTTTTCTTGTGAGAAAGTCACATTGCCAACAAGGTCTTTTCCCCTTAACCTCAACTTGAGAGATTTCTATGATTTAAACAGGCTTCAAGTTACAATCAGAATATATTTGCCTTGATTCTTGTTGCAACATGCAGTTTTATAACTGAAAACTTGTGTAACTTTTTTTAATCCACAGAGTAACTGCAACTAACATCTAGGAAAAAGTAGGTATGTATTGAAATTACAGTAAATTCTGATTTGTAGAAATTCAGGATGCATAACTCTTTATAAGACAAGTGTGTATTTTGGACAGATCTGGCACTACACATTTGAAATCCTATTCCAAAAGAAAATATAAATCGGGATTTAAATAAACGTCCAACATTCACACATTAAATTATCATGGATTGGATTTAAATTTCATTTACATATTACAGAAGAGTTGTAGCCATTTCGATACTTAGATCCATGGTATTAACACTAGTATTTATCCTTTCTGTCCTGTTTGAAGTTAATAATTCCATGGCTATTATCATGCACTTTCATGCCAATCTTATTAGGTAGCATGCTAACAGTACTGAATATGCTGAAATATATTCCTCTTGCTAAATTGAGTGAGCTACGAAAGCTATGGCTTCAACCATGCATTTCCAAGTACTGTAAAAATCAGACTTAATGGCTTATCCTAAGTGCAATATGTAAATGATAGAGTCTTCAGAAATCTATTCAAGATAATGTGATATATCACAAGTTTTCAAGATGCAACATAAATTTAAAGGAATATAACAATATTTGATATTGTTATATTTGATAACTCACTGTTTATGCCTTGAGTTTTATATAGTATGATCTTCCTGAGTATTTTAATTGGTTTTAGAAATATGTGTTGAGCTTTGGTGGAACACCTTATTGGCCAATTTTTCTTCACTATACAATGTGAACAAAAGTAGCCATCCCACATTCTTTTAATTAAATGTCTTGATTTTTTTAGTTCCTATTTTGTATCAGTAAAAAACAATCAGTTAAAAATATGTAGTGCTATAATATCAATCTATTATTCACTACTATAGAATTATCTTTACATTATTCTTAGGATGCTTTTAAAAAGATTTAATGTTTAACAGATGCTATTATTTTACCTCTTCTTTCTCTCCCTATTTCTCATTATGTAGTGTACTTCAAATAATCACAGAACCTATTTTTTAAAATGTGCAATTTGCCTTTTTTCTTTTTTTATAATTGAAGGAAACTTTTTTATAATTGAAAATATTTCTTATTCATAATGTGTCTAAAGAAAAGGAATGTGGTGGCAGCTCTTAAAACTGTTTTCTAATTTTTTTATATAAAATGATTCAGTTACAACAGTTTTTTCAGTCACATACACACAAAGAAGATGACCTCTTAATGTGTTTCATGTGTTAGCGAAGCAAAGTTTAATAGGCATAAAGTTGGTTAATCGTAATGTTTAAGTGTGTATTGTATATCTACTGGGGAAAATAAACTTCCACATTTCAAAAAAAATTAAAGAAATTTTATTTAACACTCTCAATATTTGATTGCATGAACATAACTTTGCAATTTTATTCCTAAAATGTACTGTTATATTTTTCTGTACCCCTAAAGTATCATTTCATAGCTATACCACTGAAATCAAGACTGAAAATGGCACCCTATTAAAAGTCTTCCTAGCAAACACTATAAATATATCAGAAAAGCTGTTGTATCATCCTTCTCTGCCCCTGCTACCAAGGTACCTGATCAATTCTAGAGAGTGAAAACCAGGTCCCTTAATTTAGTTATGTGACTTAGAACTGAAAAGGTTTGAGGCTTTTGAATGTCAATGTATACCAGTCATGCATCATCAGAAGAAATTACTTGTGCCTAACTTTGCCACCAAACTCATTCCTTTATACATGCATTGGGCTTTTACCATTAAAAAAAACATTTACAGAAATTCCCTCTCCCCCTCCTTCTCTTTCTCTCCTCCCCTTCCTTACCTCCCTCTCCCTCACACACGTTTATTTTATATTCTTAACTGATTGGAAGGAAGGAAGGAAAAAATCTGAGGAAAAAAATGTAAAAAGGCAGTGTGAACAAGCTGGAAACCTTGAATGAATTCTTATTCATATGAGATGCATGCACTCTTCTGTTTTAGTATATTAGTTATTCACTTATACCCTTTATTGTGCACTAATTAGAATTGCACACTGTGAAAGCACCAATACCACAGAATGGGAAAGGGGTGACAAAATAAGATAATGTGAAGGACTCAAATTCTCCCTTTTATCTCTTCTGTAACTCTCATTTACCCAAGGCATTTTAAGGGAATGTATATTCTATCTAGTTGGCTTAATTAACTTTCAGAAGTTCCTATAAATTGCTGGTGACATTTGTGCTAAGTAGGTACAGAGCAGGGAAAATTGGCTTTTTGTACTGATTCTGTCTATCCATGGTTGCAGTTTTGTGGGAGTATGTACACAATATTCTCAATATTACAAATAAATTTTACCAGCACATTTGAGAACAATTGGTCTGGGAGCAGGAGGAAAGGAATAATGCTATTCTTTAACATATATTAAGTATATCCATCAAAAATAACAGGTTCTAATCATATAGTAACTGCAGTTGTTTCTGGAAAAATTGGTAAGTGACATGGTTACTAAGTGGACATGTGATGGTGACAGACAGACAGACTATGAACACTGCCATGAAACTTGACTACGGATCCCATCAGTTAATGAATTTGGCTGTCAGGGTCCAGGAAGAGAGCTTTCTCTGCCACCGTGCCTGTCCTGTGGAATATCCTTCTTCCAGATGTGAGGCAGGACCCCTCTCTCCTGGCCTTTTGAAAGACTTTGAAGACCTGTCTCCCAATTCTCATGGGTATTACAGAGTAGCATCCAACCCTTGTGATGATTAGTGCTTTGAAGCCCCTTCCGTTCCCTTTAACTTACTCTTGTTTTTACCTTTCTCTTTTTATCAATGTATTGTATTTTTATATGGGTTTTATGCTTTTAGAATAAAGAGACATTTTGAAAGTGAGATGGGCTGTATTTAAATTTGATAAATAAATCTATTAAATAAATAAAAACTCCATCTGTATAACGTGGCTCTAGCAGCCTTGCCTGGTGAAAACATTCCTAGAGTTCATGTGCAAATTCTTACAGGAAGTAATATATAAAAACAGGTTTTTTTAAAAAAGTGATGTAATACTGCTATCAGTAAATCCAGTAAAAAAACCTGTAATTAGTGATGAGCTAGCAACCCATAATTGGTCAGCTTGACTAATTTATCCACTTTAAGTTGAACTTCTGTGAAGCGCAGGACTAGCACACTTTTGAAATGGGGCTAATCGTATCTTTATGAGAAGCTCTCAGAAGATTTGACAAGAACATCAATAATGACTGATTAGTCATTACACAGAACAGAATAACAGAATTGGAAGGGACCTTGGAGATTTTCTTGTCCAACCCTCTGCTCAAGCAGGAAATCCTATACCATTTCAGACAAATGGTTGTCCAATCTCTTTTTAAAAACTTCCACAATTTCTGGAGGCAAGTCATTCCACTGGTTAATTTATTTAGTTATTATTTATTAGTCCAATTTATATGCCACCCTTCTCTGTAGACGCAGGGCGGCTTACAATGCATTATAGCAATAGCCAGCATACTTTTTATGTATATACCTGCTTATTAGGGCTTTCGGGCCCCCCTAAGCGGTGTTGTTCTAACAAAGCTGGCTTATTGCCCCCACAATCGGGGTCCTCAATTTACCTACCTCAAAAGGATGGAAGGCTGAGTCAACCTTGAGCCTGGTGAGATTTGAACTCGCACTAATTGCAGGCAGCTAGCAGCTAAGTGCTAGCACTTAACAGCATGTAATCCGCTGCACCACCAAGGCTCTAATTGTCCTAACTGTCAGGAAATTTCTCCTTAGTTGTAGATTGCTTCTCGCCTTGATTAGTGTCCATCCATTGCTTCTTGTCCTGTCTTCAGGTACTTTGGAAAATAGATTGACCCTGCCTTTTTTTGGGAGCCCCTTAGATATTGGAGTACTATTATCCAGTGGTGGGTTCCTCCTGGTTCGGTCCGGTTCGGCCGAGCCAGTAGCGGTGACGATATGATGTCACCGAACCGGTTCTCCCCCTGCCCTCCCACCCCCCCCCACATTATTCTTACCTTTTATTTGGTCCCACCCCCAATCTATTGCTGCCTCCTGAGTCCCAGTTGATGACTAGAGGGGAAAAAAACTGTTTAAACTTTGAAGCGGGGCTTCAAAGGGCCGTCCTACAGCTGATCAGTGTTAAAAGCAAACAAATGAGTTGGGTCGTAAGTGCGACGACTGGTCGTAAGTGCGAGGACCTTCCAGAAATGACTCTGACCAGCTAGCCACGCCCACCTAGTCACATGACCTCCAAGCCACACCCACAAAATAAGCCACGCCCACAGAACCAGTAGTAAAAAAAATTAGAACCCACCCCAGCTACTATCATATCACCCTTTAGTTCTTTTTATTAAACTAGACATACCCAATTTCTGCAACCATTCTTTGTATGTTTTATACTCCAGTCACCTAATAACCTTTGTTGCTCTTCTCTGCATTCTTCCTACAGTCTCAACATCTTTTTTATATCTTGGCAACCAAAACTGAATGCAATATTCCAAGTGTGGTCTTACCAAAGCGTTATAAAGTGGTACTAACACTTCATGTGATCTTGATTCTATTCCTCCGTTAATGCAGCCTAGGACTGTGTTGGCTTTTTTGGCAGCTGCAGCACACTATTGGCTTATATTTAAGTGATTGTCCACTAGAACTCCAAGATCTCTCTCTCAGTTACAACTATACAGAGTGATGCATTTGCAAAAGTCAAGTGGCCTTTCCTGCAGCCTAAAGTAAAATGGCTAAGGAAGTGGTACCCAGCAAATGGAGATATTTAAGTGGCTCTCCAGCAGCCTCTGGTGCCCAGTAGGAACTGGGATGCTACCATTCCTGGCTAAATCAGCAGCCAAGTGGTCAATGAAACACAGTAAATTGCATAATTGGCAAAAAAAAAGTGTCAGAAGAAAGAAATACGTCTTTAAAACTGGCCCAGAGAAGGGAAACTTTAAGCCATCTCAGGTATGAGAGGAAGTCAATGTCATGAACTGATGCTAGAGGATATAAGAAGAACTCTATTTGAATGATTAATGCTATGGAATCCTAAGCCAATTTCCCCAAAGTAGGCTGAAATCAACTCTCTTATTTCACTCTCTAGGTTTGGAGGAGATTATTACTGGATTCATACATGATTCTAGGATATGTTTTATCTAATAATTGTCTACTGAATAAAACAACTGTGAAAGAATGTTTTACTTAGCTAGTGGAGTCAACTATAGCATGCAAGCCAAAATTAGCCTCCAGAAACCATCAGTGCTGTTTTTTCCCATTTCATTTAAAGATAAGGATGAGTAAAATATTTATATGATCTGAAAAGAGAGCAGAGTATGACGACTTGTATTACACAGTAGAAAATAAAGCCTCATTCCTTTGGGGGTACATCCTATGACCATTAGATTGTTTTTTTAAAAGATGCATTCTTTAGGTGAAAAAGACATATGCCTGAGTACTAAGCCAGAAACCCTGGTTCACCAATTCCAAAGTATAAGTTCATACATGACCCTGAGGTTTTTGGTAAAAACAAAACCACTGCATGAGAAAACTCCCCTCCCCCATTCTCTGCAAGGAAACAGATCTGGAAGAAACAGTCAAGGGAGCTTCAATATCTCATATAAACAGATACCAATAACACAAATTACATGTTTTATACTACTGCAAAACTGAGCCTTATACTAACTGCACTTTTCCTCCAAAATAAGGAATTATTACTTAGGTCCAAATATGCTCCTAACGAGTTAGTCACATGATTATATGGATTCCAAGTAAATTTGAGGAACTATCACTCTAAAATCATGTCTCCCCATCACATCAAGTTATGCCTTCCCAGCCCTAAGAATCATTAGGGAACATCATCTGGCACGGCTCAGAGAGAGATTTTTCTGTCATGGTGCCTGCCTTTAGAACATCATCCTCTCCCACCCTCCACCTCCCCAAGAGATTGCATTAGGCCCAAATGTGCTGGCTTTTTGTAAGGCTTTAAACATATGGTTTTGTTACTGCCTTGAGGATGCAGATGGGTGGCCAAGTGCAGGCAGTGTTAATCTGATGGTGTTTGGGTTTTTTTTAACCTTGTCTGTTGATTGTATTAATGTAGGTTTTTATATTGTTCTGTATTTTTATATAGTTTTCAATTGTTGTTAACCATCCAGAGCCATGAATTTGAGATGGCAGCCATATAAACTGAAATCATAAGGAAAAAAAATGCCTATGGTTAAATATGAACTGTCTTAGAACCAGTTGATTTTAATATATGGATATTTAGAGTTCTAATCAATAAATAAAGATTGATTGATATTTAGAGTGCATATCTAGTCAGATAATTGTATCAAATTAAATAACAACTTACTTTTATTTTGAATGGAAAAATATTTTTTCACCATAATCTTGTTATTTACCCCATGCCTACGAAGAGAAATTTTTAAAACTCTAAACAAAGGGCAATTGGGAAAATTTCTTTAAATATTTGTTAAATTTTTGTTTTCTTAAACATCAAAGGAATAGCCGAGGGTGTTCTTATCTGGTTTCTGTCACAGCTCCATTCAGTTTCCAAAGCTTTTCATTATCTACACAAAACCACTGAGAAATATACTGTAATCAGGAAATTTGGAGGTGGGTGTTGCCAAGATGCTGACAGTGCCCAAGTCTATCTCACTGTAAAATTTCCATGTACACTGGCAACCTTGAATGCCTATTTGAAATTATTAATGAGATGAATAAGGGATACATTGAAATGATTACACAGGAATATAAAGTTCTACATACCATGTGCTGGAAGGTAAAATGTACACATAACTATCTAATTCTTTTCAACAATCTTCTGGTAAAATCACCAGCACTTCAATGTTTTTACAATCCGGAAATTGTTTTAGTCCTAATCTTTTCCTCAAAGTGCCTGACAGTTATGAATTGTCCTATAAACATAGTTTATTCCAGAGTAGCAGATTCCCCCCCCCCACACACACACAAATTCCTGTTCCCAAGATATTAACCCTCCAAAATGTAGAATTCTTAACATTTTCCTTACTGAAAATTGGGAAGTAAGTCCACATTTTATAGAATATAGGTATATAGATGTGGTGATAAAATTTGATGTCAAAAATACAGCTGAGCAAATACAAACATACTTTTCAAATAGACAGCTATTTAAAGTTACAACTGCTAAAACATCTTACGTGAGTGAGATTCGAACAGCTCGACACAATGGTCAGATAAGGGAGATTCCATTCTATACCCTACAATGAACGTCTCTGCATTTGTGGAGCGGCAGAGGTAGAAGTCCTGGATCACATCCTATTTGACTATTGCCTGTATAAGAGGGTGAGAGAGAGGTACCTTGGTCTAGATACCAAATGAATGACCCATTGGGATCCCCATAAGAAAACAACTTACCTTATGTGCAGCCAGAATCTGAAAATAACATTTAATACAGCACGGTACTTAAACAAAATGGTTTGGTTGAGATCTGCATATGTGGAACTGATTGGGGTAGATTGCAGGAGTGACACCAAAATATAATTTTGTCATATTTTATCTATATCTCAAATTATTGTATTTTATTCCAATTTTATTTTAGATTGTATTTTATCCAATTCCATTTTAAATTGCTTTTATCAAATTTTAGTAATAATTTGTTTCTGAAACTCTGCACTTTGATATGGCCCAAGGGCTAATCAATAAAGAAAAGAAAAGAAAAGAAAAGAAAAGAAGGATATCAAAAAGTACACAATGGTATTATGTCACATTTTCATACTTGTATCCTGACATATATGTAGATCCTTGAGTTTGTCTTGTGGCATCATAAGACACTTCATTGTTTTCCCTCCTTTTTCTTCTATGAAGTCTATGCTGGAGAACCGTGAAGTTTCAAGAGAAAAAAAGATGTTTTT